TAGATTTTCGTACATTTCTTTTATATATTATTGATTCTATACGAAAAAAACGATTAATTAATAGTCATTGGGAACAAATTGTTCAACGTTGTGCAATCTGTTTAATTAATTATGATTGGATTGGAAAAATTGAAAATTTAGATCATGATGGAAAATTCTTAACAGAAAAATTAAATAAAAATTCCGATAAAATTCATTTAGAATTTCCTTCGAAAGAATCTGATAAAAAAGAAAAAAGCGAAAAATCATTAAATGATTTTCAATTATGTGAACTTTTTCGAAACACTATTCAAAATGATAATGATTTTCAAGTTTTAATCGATTATTATAAACCAGATTTTGAAATATTTAATTATACAATCCCTAAATTATAAAAGAAAAATTTCTTAAATTAGGATTCTTTTTTAACAATCTCGATCACACAAACGATATTAGATTATTATTATATTGTTTTCTTTTTAAATTTTATTATTATCTTACTCAATTTACTGTGCATTATATATATATATTCTCAACTATCAACTTTACAGAGCTGATTAAAATAACTCAAATGAAAATCATCAAAAATAATAACAGTATATACAACATGGATGAAAGAAATAAAATAAAATAAATTTGACGTTAATATCTGAATTTATTCTGATATATTGTTTTGTATTTTTATTTTTATAAATTCACCTTACAAAATTGTCGATTTTATTCTTCACATAAGTTTCTTCTGTCGTAGAAAAATCGAAAAAAATGAACAATTACTCAATCATTGAAATTGTGACTGTCAGAAAACAAATAAATAACTGTTCCAACGAAATTGAAAATATGTTGCATCTCATAATGTTTCGCAATTTTAAAAAGAACTATTTTAAACAATAATTTTTCAAATAAAAATTAGAAAATAATGCAAAAGACTCTTTCTGACAGTCCTATACCATTATTTTCTTTCAATCTGGAACAGTTTAAAGATTTTCGTTGTTCAGTTTAAATGATACATTATTTTATTCAGAATTAAATTCGGCATCCAATGACATAATGATAAACTGTTTATAAAGCACGCTAACTTTTGAAAACACAATTTTTGAAAGCATATTCAAAATAAAACATCATCAGCTGGTAGTTTTAAGTCTTTTGCATTATCAGAAGCTTTGAGAAGTTCTTGGAAACATAAAGCATAAAATTCTCTATATATTAATACTAAATACTTTACATCTAGTATCGAACATAAGCTTGCACAAATCGTTAGATGTCTGCAGAAAATAGCAGGAGAGATTGCAGTCAGAAAGTGAAGCAGCCGTCAATGTTTCTAATTTTTCGTCAACAAGAAAAATTTATTTAAAAAATCAAGTCCATATTTTTATAAAATAAAAGAATTCTCTACAGAATAAGTTTAGAATGATACCTTTGAACAGTGTTTTCGTTCTACAAAAGTGGAAAAATAAAGAGTCTCTTTATTTATGAACTACTCCTTATTAACAATTGAAATTCGAACAGTTTTTCTAAAATTCCATTCAAATAAATTTTGAACTCTTTTTTCTCTTAATATTTTTATAGATATCTGAACTAAAGAAAAAACAGTGTGCATTTTTCTAATATAAGACTGATTAGCATTTTTACTAAGATTTTTTTAATGATTTACCTAAATCTCACACACAGAGTTACTGTTTGATTTTCTGTCACGCGATATTGAAAAACAAACTTGAGATAAAACAATTCATCTAAAAATAATCGACATTATGTTGAATAAAACTGAATGAAAAGAAAATAAACTTGTTGAAAGAAAAAGAGAATATTGTATTATTTCTTGTTTATTAAAACAATGAAATGAGAATGGCGATAATAAATATCTGACGGAATTTTTTATTTTCTTTGACATATGATTCTTCTATTATATTGCAATTTGAGATATCACTGTGAGAAAACTTTTGATTCATGAGAAGAAAAAAATAACAATGTCAATGTGTCACATAAAATAATAATGTACGGTAAGGCCTCAGAAATAAGGTCAAACGAAGGAAATTATATATTTATTCAATTCTTATCTTAGGTGTTATAAAAATGTTTATATACTAATTCTAAATTTATCTTATGGAAGTCGTTTTATGCAAATGACATTACATCAAGAATATATAGCAAAAAACACATTATTTATTTTGTGTAATTGAGATCTATCGAATTTAAAGTCTTAGTTATATATCGTGATACGTAAACAAAGTTTATTCAACTTAGATTTTCAAGTATTGTTGTTGACGAGTTTTGTAAACCTCTCGTATTTCTTTAGTTATTCGACATTTATGCGAAAAAAAACCATATTCAGACATTTTCCTAAGCTTTTATAGTAAAATTGAGTACTTATCATCTTTTAAATCGAATTATTGTTTTTTGTTGATTCTTTTTTCAAAACAGTTAAATAATGTGTTTTAATTCATTCACTGACACTTCAAAAACATATAAAATAAAGTTAAATATCAAAATTCAAATTGTATATTTCATAGTTATATGAATTATTCTATATCTACAATATGAAACTATTCTTATTTATTAAAAGATATCTATCATTATGTAACTATTATTTATTCATTTCATACGTTTTGACAATGAACATAATTTCAAACTTTATTAAGTTATTTAATATGAATTATGTCGATTATTCACATTCGTTTCGATTTTTATTTATTGATCAGATAACAAATAATCTTGATAATGAATCATATTGCATGTTTTTTTCAGACTACATTATTCATACTCCGTACATACTTTTTTCATTTATTGGAATCCGATAATAGTGAGTAGTGTAACCCGTAGATTTATAATCTATACCTATTCTAGGTACAAATATGGACATCAGACATATTCACATGAGTACAACACACATATAAAACACTAATATCTGAGTAATAAATGTTCTAGATATTGCATAGAAACAAAAATTCAAAGATGATTGTCGATGTTTGACACATTGGATTTAATTTCAATTTATTGTATTTATATTTGATGATCGTTTTCATATTATTATTTCATTTTTTTCTAAACTCAAATAAAGAAAATAATCCATGTACAATTTCAAACTACTGATTTAAGTTGAGTGTGCATATGAATGTTATGGAGACGAAGTTGACAAATATGAGTAAAGTACAAGTAAGAAGAATATGAATACGAAAAGTTGTATTCGTACAGTACTTTATCTTATAAAAATAATTAGATTGAACAATTTTAAATTAGTTCCATATATTCAACAAATATATAAATCATTTTGTATTGACATATTACATTACTGAGTATTACGATCGCGTTTTTCCATATCACATACCAAAAAATACAATTGTTTTCAGATCTAAACATAATTGTTTTTGAAGTTCGTACGCAAAGGCCATATACTAGGTGGGTAAAAATATTATTCCAGGATGGTAGCACTATAATTTCAAATAGAAGACATAATGAATTTTATATCAAATGAAAGCTCGTCAAAAATGGGGTTTATTGATACTAAATAGTGAGGATTATAAAAACTTTTTAATATCGAACTTAAGAAACTTTCAGAAATTTTATACGTTTTTTTTGGATGGGAAAGTAAGGTGCCAGTAATTCAAAAATCGAGTAGAATGTTTTTCTTGGATATTTTTACATGATTCGATAGAGCTCATCGAGCTCTACAAAACTATATATATTAAAAAAATTTTAAACAGAGTTCTTGGGTTAAAACAACCTGAAACTGTCTAAAGGATGTACCAAAAAACCCGTGTTTTTTAGAGTTTTGATAGGGAAATAAATGCGAAAACCTCGGATTTAAATCCGAGTGTTATGTGTACTTCAAAAAGTGAAAAGGTATATTCACTGTGTTTTTTATCACTAAATTGCAAGGAGAAAATACAGGCGTG